TTTATGATAGTAGGCAAATGCAAGCAATACTTATATGCCTTGATGCTTGTGGGTATTAGCTTATATCTTTCACATTCATGCAGAACTAGCTACATTCAGAACTTGAACAGTAATTGTCAAACATGATGAATTGGTTATAAGATGAAATTAATCACTTGAGTAAAGCATTGAAATGGAAGACTGCCATTAATAAATTATGAATGGGCAGACAATATATAGCTTTATTACTGTTAGTTCAGTCAATCAATCACAGTCTGAGAAATCTAGGCAATTTAACTAAATGAATTAATTTGTATTTTTTGTGGAAACAAATTACAAACATTATACAATCATTGACAAAGATTTGCAGTACATGCCAGAAAAATAAAATGCTGTGTATCTCATGTAGCATTTTAAATACAGAGCCAATCTAAAAATATCAAAAAATACTTTAAATATAATATACTTTTACATGGCACCACAAAAGCTCAATGGCCTTGCACAATGAGATAGTTGATATACAAAAATGTTTATGATAACTAAAAAAAGTGGCTGGTGATCAGGGAAAGCAATAAATGTTTCTATTACAGGCAGACAAGGTCATAGATGAATAAACTAGCAACAAAACTCGTTCAATGTCCAAAAGCAATAAATGTTTCTTTTACAGGCAGACAAGGTCATAGATGCATAAACTAACAACAAAACTCGTTCAATGTCCAAATGCAGCAAGAAAAGTTATAAAAGCAGATATCTCATCTTTTTCAATGGGCTTTACTCTGAATATGAATGCCAGTCACAGCTTAAAATAGTTCGACTACATTGCTACAGTCCTATGTAGCCTTATCAATCGTGCAGTGCTATCTTTAATATGAAGCATCTCTATTTCCACCACTCTTGAAACTGTCAGAAATTCATAAACATTTCTCCAGTGACTACACACAGCAGTACATAGTACATGAAGCAAAGGGTCCTAAAACAAATGGACACTGACATAAACCATGTCAATGTTCTACAACACCTCCAAGGAATTCTTTTACAATTTGAGTGTTAGTCATCTAAATTATTTGGCCATTTTAGTTTTGTTACAGTACACGTTATAACTTTCACCTTGCTTTGTTTGTCAATTACTGTATAAAAAATTGAAGTGTAGTCATAACTATAACACTACAGCTGTACTACACCATAATACTGTCTACTTAACTATTCCAAATTTACTAAAAACTTCATTTGTTCTCTAAAAAATTTAAATAAAAGCAGATACACAAAACTACCCTTACTGACTGAGGTTACACAGTCGTTATACATTCAAGTTACTTTTATATTGTAGATATCATCATGGGTACAAAACTTCACTCCTTAAGATGCAACGGTTTTTAAACTTTTACATTTTTTTAGGTGCACTAAATGACAAGAAAGTAATTGCTTCAAATAATCACAAAAATTGGCAAAACTGCTATTTATTTCGTTAAGTAGCGATGAGAAATCACTACGTCCAAAATAACGGATTACTAAAGTCATGCAAATCATTGTAACCCCAAACTGTAATGAAATTGTTGTTTACACGAATGTAATTAAACGGGTACGACATTAATGAATTAATGATAAAACCACTGAAGTGCAAAAAAGCTAAACTGTCATAGATTCTATAGTACATGCAGAAGCATTTCAAAATTTCTATTGTTCAATGGCAGATTGATCTTCAAAAATAGTTTAACAAAATAATTGATTTGTAACATAATAATATAGTAGTGAGAGCTAACATCAATAGATAGTGTCTCAAGTACCATGACATCAAACATCAGTACTTTCCAATCCAGTAGATGAAACATCAGACAGTCTCTATACGAATAAAATACATGTATGTGACTAGGAACATAGTGAATCAGTGAAGTAAGCATTTCGTCAAACCAGTGACTCGAGTGAAATAAGTTAGCTTGTCAAAAAATAATTGTAAACTGTAGAGTCTATGAGAGGGATAATGGAAAAAGAGAAGGAAAGAGAGGAAAAAAAACAAGAAAAAAGGATAAAGTATAGGACTAATTATATAGGGGGTAGCCTATATGTAGGATTGAGGTTGGTTTTTCAAGATGGCGACAGTTTTTATGATTTTCAAACACTCATAACTCTTTTATCTTATGTTGTACAGCATTATAAATGGCTTAGATGAGCTCTCCTTCACTGAGCAATTCTCCTGGTACCTTTAAAGTGGACTGTACTGTAGCAGGAGCATTTCTGGAGAACAGGCCCAAATTCAAATTTCTGCAAAATTCTTCAGACTTTTTTTCTTCTTTCTTTCATCTTCTATCCAGAAGATCTCTTAAGCCAGATAAGAGACTAACTTGGCTTTTACAACATTCCTTAGCGTTTAAGTCAAGGACTACAAAGGTGGCTTCAAAAAGAAGCAAGGACCGAGAACAAAATGAAAGACAGAATCCAGCTGCAGACACCGTGTGGGTTTGTGGTTTGACGCCATTTTAATTTATGCGCACGTGATCAGCATGAATATAATTAACCTAACCACAGAATCATAACAAATGTAATATTATTAATATTTAAGAAAAAAGAATGGAAACAAGTAAATAAAAAACATTAAAAATGGAAAAGTAGTAGGATTGAATTGGAAAAAAGTAACGAAACTAGAGGGTATGCAAACTGGTGTGGTAAAAAAATCCTACACCACTGCATGAGGATAAATTCTTTATAGTGTGATCATGTAGCTGTCTATGTGCTGGGATAATTGCAACTCATGCCTTGGATCATATTCTTCAGGCAGTTGTGTAGGATTTTTTTACAACACCAGTTTGCATACCCTCTAGTTTCTTTACTTTTTTCCAATTCAATCCTACTACTTTTCCATTTTTAATGTTTTCTATTTACTTGTTAATAGTTCCCATTACAGCAAGACAAAAAAAATTCAGTAGCAAAATGTTTTTATGATAAAGTCTAGACATCGTCATGTGTTTTATCATTATTATAAGAAGCCAGAAGCACAAAAAAGGGAAAGGATTCAATAATATGCAATACTTGAAATGTAAATGTACGTCTGCCAAAATAGAAAGTTTTGAAATGCTGAGTGATCCATAAAAACAGAATCTTTAATAATCATTATAATAGATAAATATAAAAAAGTCTAACTATGTTGTCACAAGACAATAATTGCATACAATAAAGCTTTTCAAAAAACACTCAATTATATATTTCGCAAACAATAATTTACTTTTGTCTCTTTCATAGTGTGCTTTTTTGCTATATTGTTCATTTTAGTATCTGTATATACCATTATTTTAATTTCATTCATACTTAAAACATTAGCAACCCTATGATGGGAATTTTTGGAGGGAATTAAACTTAGCGCTATGATAGCCATAAGTAGCCATTATATGCATGCTCAATGGCATGTGGCCAGTAGTACACCAAATTAAAACTTGCCGATCACCAAAATCTTGCAATTGGCCAAAGTTAACTCCCTCAAAAATTGCCCACTACTCAGTAACCTGCTATTATGGTATTTCTGAAATACAACATATTGAATGTGTCTTTGTCCTAAAATATTCAGATGAACATATGCTCTGGTTAGCGAGGAACTTCTATGTTAGCAATACAAAATTAAGAAATGACTGTGTATGCGAGCCTAAAGTGTCAAGTTCACTATGACAGTAAATGCCCCATGTAATCACCATGTCAAAGCATGTGCTGAAAACACATTTACCATGTTGTGGCAATGCTACCTGCCTTACATTGAAAAAATGAAGCCTATGTTTGACTTGTGTGCCACTGAAGTAAATGAGGTAAGTTAGTACTGTAGTAACACAGGTACTATATTTATTAATTTCATGGAATGCAAAAAGCACTAGTTCACAGACGTCTTGTTCAAAAGAAAAGGGATTACATAATGATATACCTAGGCCAGACTTTATTGCAAGCTTTATTGACAGTTGACTTTCAGCTTATAATACCTGTACAATAATGTTGTTTCTTATATTTTATTTTAAGAGATTTTTGCTGTCAACCCACAGGGCTACAAATAAAACCACAGGGAGTGTTACAAATGAAAGCTGTGTTACATCACATTTGTAACCACAGGCGGTGCCTTTGATACGCCCACTCACTATTATACAATTATTGTTCAGTCAATGTGTCGATTGTGTTTTATGTGGGCAGAGTTGTCACATTGACAGAAATCTGCCTTCATTCATATTAAAGGTAAAGTACTAATTATCATTGAAATAATTTTAACGTATTTGTAGTTCACTTGTGGTCATGGTTGACTGGACGGTGAATTGCTTGTGCAGATAGAAGTGTCAGATTTTTAGTCCATATATAAGAGTCAGTATCGTTAATAGTGTGACTATTATTGGTGCATATAAGAGTGAGTATTTTTTGTAGTATATACATTACATGCATTAGAGTGTGAGTATTGCTTGTACCTACATGTAATAGAGTGTGAGTATTATTTGCACATACATGTACAAGTAGGAGTATTGCTTGTACATATATGTATTAGAGTTTAAGTATTTTTTGTACATAGACGTACATGGATAAGAGTATTGTTTGTGCATACTAGTATTAGAGTATGAGTATTATTTCCATATACATGTATAATATGGATAAGAGTGTGAATATTGTTTTGAACATACATGTATGAGAGTGAATGTTGTTTGAGTGTTGGTATTGTTTGTACAAATTAGAGTATGATTATGAATAAGAGAATGAATGTTGGGTACCTCACGGGTGTTTCAACTGGACATTTAGTTTATAAATAGAATAGTTGCGGTAGGTACAACATTGGTCAGTGAGGTGTGACCATTAATCATCACAAAAGAGAAGAGTATTGCTAAGGACATTACTCCAAAGTACTAGCTGCTATGACAGTACTACATTCCATAGACCTAGATAAGGTCTCCTAAGACACCCCTAGCTCTTGTGTGCATACATAATATGTACTGTGAATAACTGCGCATTGAGCAAGAGCAGCAGCCTAAAATAAACTCATTTCAGCTGATGGTTTTGAGTGGACTTCCTGGCTTTAGGAAAGTTTTTTCAATTGTAACTATTATCCAAAACTGAAGATCAAAGGTAGTACATTGTAACAAAATATAATTTAGCATGCCACTTTTTTTTGCTAACAAAATATATAGCACTCAAAATGACACATGAATGATTGTTAGAGAAGCTCTGTCGCCTTTGTGGTAGAAATAATAGGCCAGTACAGAGTGTCCCGCTGTTTCACAAAGTTCAAAGAACCATTGCAAGAAGAATTTGCAATAGGTATCTAGCAGAATAGTGACGAAGTCCATTCCAAGTGTTTTTGTGATCGATGCTATGCTATTTTGTAGAGAAAGATGAAAGAGCCAAGGACAGAAGAGTAATGCTTACTTCTATTAATCTAGTAGAGTGGAGGGAGCATACAAATGAGAGCTGTGAGACATCAGACATGCCAAAAGTACTAGAACGTATAAAGGGTGGGAGGAATATAGGTAGGAGAGTGGGGACGAATAGAGGAAAGAAGAGAGGAAAACCTTGAATAAAATAGTTTTCATGACATAATTGAACACATAAAGAAAATAGAGTCACCTTTGTAATATAACAGCCCAGATTTCTTTACTTTCAAATGATAAGTAAACCTCACTGAAGAATTATAATATAGCTGTCAAATCTATTAAACTATCCCATTTATACATTCAACCTCTTAATGTTACTCTTGAACTCTGAACTAAAGAAAAGAAAGGCAAAAGCCCCTCTCTTAAGTACATGTCCATAAAATACCTTTAGCTCCAGGTGGCCACATACCATTATACCGTATAGCGGGAAATTTTGGAGGGAATTAAATTTGGCGAAATTGGCGTTTTGATAGCCATTTGCCAAAATTAAACCCGCCATTTTGAGCCATTATACGCATGCTCAATGCACGTGGCCACCGATTCGCCAAATTAAAATCCGCCAATCACCAAAATTTAGCAATTCGCCAAATTTTAGTCCCTCCAAAATTTCCCGCTATACGGTACTGTTTGCTCTGGTATGGTAACAGACAAAAACGTAGCAGTACAGCAACAGTCTACTTGAAAAGGGGTTACATAAGGCTACCTAATGAGTTGTTCCTTACTTCAGAGAAAACCTTCAGTTAGCTAAAAGATTCATGTGTAAGTTCCACCCTTTATGATCCATAACTTTTGACCAGAAAGTCGTAGTAACATGGAACAAAGAGCTACTTGAAGCTCTGGTTTTGCTAAAACAAATAGACTCCGCTTTGACCCTGTAGCTCCACCACAAGACAGTAAAAAATCAATTTAGAAGGTTGTTATGCACAGTGTCACCATGGCAACCATAAAATTTCAAAATTTCTCTGCGCAAACTAAATGTCCAAGAATAATTCATTTGAAACACCCGTGACCTGTAGGCGTGTCTGGCTAAAGTTAACCACACCTTCCACTAATTCTGGAATCCAGTTGTGGCTTGCATGCTTAGGCTAAGTAAATGAAGGAACCTGATAGGAATCAAAGGAGAGTGTAAACTTTAAAATGAAAAGCTTGGAGACAAAGGTAGCAAAATGATATGATAGCTGTAGCAGGTGCTTTAGCAAGAAGTGCATTAGAACGTTGCATTGAATTTAACAATATCATAATTTATGGAATTGGTTGTGCTTACAAATTGACTTGGACTCTAACTTGCAGTTGGCACATTTTGGCTGTTACTAAGAGCCTCAACTGATGGATGATGTTGTTGCTTATCCATAACGAGAATGTGACATCCGTAATTTCTAAACAAGCACTATTAATTTTTGTCAATCATAAGCTTGCTACTGCGAAACTAGAATTAAATATCACTTTTTGTCGCTTAAGGTACTCTACAACACACATTCTTCCTTTAATAATGTTATTATTTATTTATAATAAACTTTAATAATAACTACATATATCAGTAGAGCTATACAAGTGGATATTGTCCTTGATTATTTTCAGGATTACTGGATTGTCTAAAAGTTATTTGAGATTTTCAAGATTGTCTACAGAT